TCATGATGAGGGGGCCCCTGAGTTGCTGGATGCGAACTTATTCATGGAGCAATTGAGAGCACGATTTGAAGATGAATCCCAAGCCGGTGGAAAAAGAGATCCACCGTTTGAAGCAGAAGGGCCATCCGGCAAAAGAATGTGTTTGGGAGTTCCGGAGGGTTGTTGGTCAGTTAGGACAGTGGCCAGAGTGATCGTTGATCCACTACTTCAAGGAAGGGCTGGACCATGACCTACTCCAAGCATGCATCTACCGAGGGATTCCTAATCAACTACGAGATTGGTATAGTATGGCAGTCACCCTGGACATCGAGTTAGATCGAGCAAAGAAGCCAGCTGCTGCTGAACCGAAGACGAACCAAGGTCCAGAAAAGTGCCTGTTTGGTCGACATCCCCAGACTACCTCGACAGCCAACACTTTACAAGCACCCGCCGGGGTTCCCATCAAGTGTTTCAGATGTGGACAGCAAGGTCACCGCGCCGCTGAGTGCCTGGCTCCTGCTCCCAAGTTAAGAGCACACCTACTTCAACCGTTAAGCCCAGGAAACCCCCATGGGCAGGACGAGAGAAGTCGAATTGGGCTCATCAGGAGCAGACCATCCAGATCTCCTCTCCTTCCCAGGCAGAAGCAACAGCTTCGCCTGAACACCTGTCGATGCCGGCTCCTTACGACAGTGATGAGGAAGGCGAAGACGATCTGATGGCAAGACAAGCCATCCCACCATTCGCTATTCCTGCCAAGATTATAGTGCCAAAAGCAGGGGCCCAAGCAGACTTAAAAGTTCTAATAGATTCAGGTTGCACCAGGTGCCTAATCAACCTCCCCACAGTACTTAAGCTGGGGATTCATGCCAAACTGTTGCCCCTAGCCATGAAATTTGAACAGGCAGATGGGTCTCTTATCGGATGTTCCCCTGCAATGCATCTAACCGAGCCAGTGCGCTTAGAAATGGGACAGCACTGGGAAATCATCTGTTTTGTGATGATCCCAAAAATGACAAGAGACTGTGATTTTAGGTTTGGCTTGGCTCGATAAGTGGCGTCCCACCATTTGGTGGGAGAAAGGTGTGAGAACTTTGAGGTTAGTGACGGGACCCCTTCCACCTACTGAAACCAGTGAGATAAAGGGAGCTTCTGCAGTAGGAACCCAGGGGGAACCTCTTGAGATGTTAAAAGCCGCCGTCGAGCGAATACCAGGCCTTTAGTGAAAAGGAATGTGACACGCTTCCACCTCACTGAGCCACCGACTGTGCAATTGAGATCCTACCAGGTGCCAAACTCCCAAAGCCCAAGATGTACTCTATGACACCCAGGTAGATGAATGAACTGAGAGAATTCATCAACAAGAACCTGGCCAGAGTGTTTATCCAGCCCACTAAGATGCACGTGGCTGCCCCAGTGTAATTCAAAGGAAAGAAAGATGGGTCTTTGAGATTGTGCGTGAACTTTAAAGGGTTAAATGATGTCAGCATAGAAAACATGTACCCCCTTCCTCTGATGAAAGACATGCTAGCCCACCTAGCAAAAGGGAAGATCTTCTTGAAACTAGACTTAAGGGAGGCTTATTACCACGAATTAAGGAGGGGGATGAATGGAAGACAGCCTTCAATTGTCCCTTGGGAAGTTTCCAGTTCAAGGTGATGCCTTTTGGCCCCCAAGGGGCTCCTGCAGTGTTTATGCAGTTGATTAACCAGGTGCTACATGATCACCTATACAAGGGAGTTTTAGTTTACCTTGACGATATCCTCATCTACACTGAAACCATGGATGAGCACATTAAATTAGTTCACAAAGTGTTCAAAAAGCTGCTACATGCTAAACTCTATGCTAAGCTTTCTAAATGCGAATTCCATCAGACGAGCCTCAACTACCTGGGATACCGAATCTCTAGTGAGGGGGTGGAAATGGACCCTGCCAAAGTCAAGGCGGTGCTAGAATGGCAGCCTCCATGGACCCACAAGTTTTTTGGGATTTGCAAACTTTTACCGGCAGTTCATCCCCTCCTTTGTGAAAATAGTGATGCCAATTACTGAGCTATTGAAAATTGGAAGAGGGGGGGGAAAGCCCCGACCTTGTCAACCTTTTCAATGGACCATGGAATGCCAGGTGGCATTTGAGCAATTAAAAAGACTGTTGCCGCAGAACCAGTTCTAAAACACCCTGATCCTGAGGAACAATTCATCATTCAAGTTGACGCAAGTGATGTCGCAGTGGGCACTGTCCTCCTACAATGAACAATAAGGGGGACCTACAACCTTGTGCCTATACTTCAAGAAAGCTCACAGACACAGAGAGGAGGTGGACTGTTTGGGAGAAGGAGGCTTTTGCGGTGAGATGGGCATTACTAACTTGGCGCCATTTCCTGGAGGGGAGCAAAGGGCCTTTCGAGGTATGGACTGGGCATAAGAACTTAGAGGCACTAAAGACCCCTCAAAATTTATCCCCCAAGCAAGTTCGCTGGGCACAGTATTTCAATCATTTTAATTTTACTCTCAAATACCTCCCTGGGGGAAAAAACTTTCTGGTGGACGCCTTATCTAGAATGCCCCAATATAAGAGTCGCCGGGAGGAAGTTATTAATTTAATCATTCCTCTACCACAGTCATCCTTTGAGGTAACCTCAAGATGTCAAACATAGAGAAAACCGACGAGCCTGATAGTCGTTTAACGCAGAAGCTCAAGGAGGAACTAAAAACAGACCCCTGGTTCAGGGACAATAGACCTATCGAGATGGGCTAGCCTGGATGGGGTCTAAGCTGTATCTTCCAATTTCCCTCAGAATTCAAGCCCTTCAATGTAGTCATGATGCCAAGCAAGCTGGTCATTTTGGTTTTCTAAAAACTTTGCATTTGGTGCAGTGGCAGTTTTGGTGGCCAGGAATGAAAAAAGACATTGAAAATTATGTCAAAAGCTGTGCTATTTGTGCAGCTATGAAAAAATGCCCTGGTAAACCTCCTGGTCTGTTGCAGCAGGTAGCAGATCCTTCCCAACCCTGGGAGGAGATAGCCATGGATTTTATTGTGAAATTGCCTGAGAGCAAGGGAAACACAGTAATTTGGACTGTCATTGACCTGTTTTCAAAGCAAGCCCATTTCAATGCTTCTTTGGGGCTTCCGTCTGCCCAAAAACTACCCAGGCTATTTTTGAAGCTCATCTATTGACTCCATGGAGCCCCAAAAATAATTATATCAGACAGGGGGTTCACTTTACTGCAAAATTCTGGAGGGAGTTTGTAAAATTGATTGTGTCCACCCGGGGACTTTCATCTGCTTTTCATCCGAGTATGAATGGATCAGCAGAACGTTCAAATGCAATGATAGAACAATACCTCAGATGCTATGTTAACTACCAACAGACTAACTGGGCAGACCTCCTACCATTTGCCGAAGTGGTGTACAACAATACAGTAAACAGTAGCACTGGATTTACTCTATTTAAAATAGCTACTGGTCAGGATTTTGTTCCGATGCCTGAATACCCCCAGAAGCCTTCTCAGACCCTTGATCAATGGGTGACCTCTTTGCAGAATGTTTGGGCAAACATAAAAAAAGCTTTAGCCCAAGCCACTAAGACTTATAAAGAGCAAGCTGATAAGAAGCGATCTCCCCAGAGGCCATTTCATGAGGGGGAGAAGGTTTATCTCTCTACTAAATACCTAAGACTAAAATTGCCTAGAGAAAAATTGGGACCTAAGTTTCTTGGTCCTTTCCCTATAGTCAGAATCATAAATCCTGTCACAGTTTAATCAAAGCTCCCACAGCTTTTAGGGAAAGTTCACCGCGTTTTCCATTGTACTTTATTAAAGCCAGTCAGAGAGTCGTCCTTGAGAACCATTCCCAAGAAGGCACCTGGTCCCATTCTCGTAGAAGGAGAAACCCACTATGAGATCAAACACATTCTTGATTCTAGATTGTATAAAGGAAAATTACAATATTTAGTGCAGTGGAAAGGTTACCCCTTGTCAGAAGCTACCTGGGTGAAAAGTGCAGATGTGAAAGTAGACAGGTTAATAAAATGGTTTTATGACAAGCATCCTCAGAAACTCAGGGGGGATTCCTAACTTTTATTTTTGTTTCCTCTGCAGGAATTGCTTTCTTCTTGGGGGGGGGGGGTGTCCGACTGTCAACTCTACAACAAACCTGGCTGCAGCCATCTTGCTCGTTCTAGGTTGCCACATGAATGGGAGGGGGTGTGGGGGATCTTTGCTAGTCTAAACAATTCTGTGTCCCATGGGAACTAAGGTCATTCTATTGGTTATGCTAGGGCAGGGGTGTCAAACTGCCAGCCCATGGGCCAGTTGCATCACGCGAATGCCGTGCCCACCCCAGCTCCGGCAATGCAAAAAAAGTCACGATACATCGCGACACATCACGTGATGTGGCGAGTTTGACACCTGTGTGCTAGGGGGTTGGGCAGTATGTTAGAAAGCACGCAAAAATATTCTATTGGGGAACGTAGCTGATTACATAGCACTGAGGTGGGAAGTTTAACTTTGTAATAGTGTAACATTTTGGAGGGACTTTTAGACTTGGTTTCACTTTTGATCGTGGCGATATTTTGTATCCAATAAACATGTTCTTTGATGAATCTTCTAGCCTCAGAGTTCTGATTTATTGGCTCTATCTATCGGAACCATGACAGCAACTGGATTTTCTTTTTTTTCCTTGAAAACGTTTCACTTCTCATCCAAGAAGCTTCTTCAGTTCTGAATTTTGTCACTTTATCAAAGAATGCAATAAGTTTTGTCTGGCATGATCTGTTTTTGACAAACCAATGTTGGCCTTTGGTTATAACTTTGTTTGCCTCTAGGTGTTTGCAGATTCATTGCTTCATTATCTTTAACTTGGCAACTTTAAAATGTGTGGCATACTGGCTGGAGAATTGAAATCCATACATTTTAAAGTTGCTAAGTTTAAAAAACAATGATCTTAGAGCAACCTCTACAGCTCCTGCTTCTAATGACTCCATTTTAGAAATTATAGGAAAAACTGAACAGTGCTTACCATTTTCATCCTGACCACCAGTCTCAGGTGTGCCTTGCTGCTGATTCTCCTCAGGTGCTTCAGGGTAAATAATTGCTGTATCTTCTTGTTGCAGAAATTCTTCAACATTCAGGTCACAATTATCTTTATTTTCTTCATCAGAATCACATTCATCTTTTACTAGAAATAAGGATTGATAATATTCTTTACTTTATTTGCATTATGCCTTTAAGCTGAGTATGCAAGATGACTAATAACAAGGTAAAGAAACAACAAAATAGTATTTAACATTAAGCAGGGGTGGCTGTGGGTTGTGTGTCAAAAAAGTAAAAATGGTAGCGTTCATCATGCAATCAAAGTTAAAATGGGAAGGGGCTGTCAAAGTTCCAGCTGATGATCCCAACAAAGTAAGCACACCTGCGACATTACAATCTCTAATGCAAAACTTTATTGAGCACAGCATACCGGCATTAATGAATGGAAAACCAGCTTTGGCAATATGGTGCCAGAAAGATAGTTAAAAGAGTAAATCCTTCCCTTCCCTCTCTGACACTTCAGGTCACATTGCCCAATTAATCTTCAGGCCATTGTTATGAGAAGAAAGCCTCTGCTCGCCATAACATATCTTCTGTGACCTTGCTTCCCATATGGATAGAAACCACCTGTGCATTCCATACATTCCCCTCCCCCCTTGGAATTCTTGGCAAGCTAGAAGCAGCATGGCTGTCCTAGCGCAAGCAATCTTTGTAGCTTGACAGGCTGGCCCACTTACAGAGTTGGGAGAACCTGGAAAACAATAAATACACATTATTACTTGCTAACTTTCTCTTGCTATGGCCTCGGCTTCTGGCGGTGTTTATTATGGAATCGGTCCACTAAGCGATCCGCTTTCACATTGTGAGCCTTTACCCATGTGGCTTCTGATATCGGGTAACCTTTCCATTGGATTAGATACTGTAACTTCTCTTTATGGATCCTGGAGTCTAGGATCCACTTAGCTTCGTAGTGTGTCTCTCCCCCATACACTATTATTGGATCAGGGGCTGCTTTCCCTGCTGGCCTCATCCTAGAGCTCTGAAATGGTTTCAGTAGGCTGCAGTGGAATATTGGATGTATTTTACCCAGTATTCTGGGCAGTTTGAGTTCTACCGTCACCGGATTGATGACTTTCACAATAGGAAAAGACCCTATGTACTTTGGACCTAGCTGTTTGCAAGATTGTTTCAACTTGCTGTATTTTGTGGACAGATACATTTTATCTCCTACATCAGACATGTCAAACTCACGACGTCACGTGACATCGTGCAACGTATCGGGCCGGTTTTGCCATTGCCGGCAATGGGGTGGGTGCGGCTTCCAGATGATGCGTCCGGCCTGCAGGCCGGCAGTTTGACACCCCTGTCCTACATGAAACGTCCCTTGGGAAGCTTGCTTTTTACCTGCCTGCTTTTTCTGATTCTCAGCTGCTTTGGCCAATGCTTTCTTCATGTTGCTCCAGACATTCTGGAATGAATCTACCCACTCAGTTAAAGTACCTGAGGAGGGAAACTCCTGAGGGCATTCTGGCATGGACATGAATTCCACCCCCATAGCCACCTTAAATGGGGTGAAACCTGTACTGCTGTGTACCGCGTTGTTATATGCTACCTCCACAAATGGCAGAAGCCCTGCCCAGTTGGTTTGCTGGTAGTTTACATAGCAATGCAGGTACTGTTCCACCATTGCACTGGCTCGTTCCGCAGCTCTGTTCGTACTCGGATGAAAAGCTGAATTAAGCCCCTGGAATGACCCAATCATCCTGACAAATTCCCTCCAGAACCTAGCAGTAAGCTGGACCCCTCTGAGTTGATGCATTTGGGCACCCTGTGCAGTCGATAGATGTGCTGTAGGAACAGCTTTGCTAGCTTCTGGGCTGAGGGGAGGCTAAGACACACAATGAAGTGGGCTTGCTTGGAGAATCATGGTGTTCCCCCCACTCTCAGGCAATTCCACGATAAAGTCCATAGCTATCTCCTCCCAGGGTCTGGCTAGGTCAGCAACTTGCTGCAGCAATCCTGGGCTCTTCCCTGGCAGTCTCTTGCTGGCTGCACAAGTTGTACAGCTTTTCACATAGCTCTCAATGTCTTTCTTCATCTTTGGCCACCAGAACTGGCAGTTGGCCAAATGTAGAGTCTTTAAGAACTCAAAGTGGCCAGCTTGCTTGGCATCATGGCTGCGCTGTAAGACTTGCATTTGCAGGCTGTCTGGGACATATAACTTGTCCCCTTTCCATGCCAACCCCCCTCCCCCCCCAAGGTTAAATCTCTTTGGTGAGCTCCAAACCAAGCATCAGATTGCAGCTCTTGCTTCAATTGTTGGGCAAAGGCGTCCATGGGGGCTGAACTCCTTTTATTCTCTTTCCGCCTTGTAGTGGCTTGTGCTGCTTGTTGTCTTGTGGGAACGATGGAACTCACCACCTCTTCTTGATTGCTTTTGTACTGGGGCATGTGGGACAGAGCATCTGCCAAGAAATTCTTTCCCCCTGGAATGTATTTCAAATCGAAGTCAAATCGTTTAAAGTACTGCACCCATTGGACTTGTTTGGGGGAAAGCTTATGGGGAGGTTTCAGGGCTTCTAAATTTTTATGGTCAGTCCACACCTCAAACGGGGTTTTACTTCCCTCTAGAAATTGCCTCCAGGTCAATAGCGCCCATCACACTCCCACACGGCCCACTGTCACTCAGTCTTGTTCAGCTTACGGGACGTGTATGCGCATGGTTGCAGGGTCCCCTCCTTGTTCCTTTGGAGGAGAACTGCTCCCACAGCTACATCGCTGGTGTCCACTTGAATCATGAATGGTTCCTCTGGGTCTGGATGCTTTAAGACTGGCTTGGCCGCAAACAGTCCCTTCAATTTTTCAAAAGCTGCTTGGCATTCCATTGTCCAGTTTAAGGGCTGATTTGACTGGGGCGTTTCTCCCTCTCCCTTCATTCTCAGCAACTCTGTGATCAGTAGGGCAATCTGGGCAAAAGAGGGGATAAATTGCCTCTAAAAGTTTGCGAACCCCAGGAAGCTTTGTAGTTGCTTCTGGGTCTGGGGAGCTTGCCACTCCAACATGGATTTCACCTTTTCTGGATCCCTCTCTACTCCCTCACTTGACACTCGGTAGCCCAGGTAATCTAGGCTGGTTTTGTGGAACTTGCATTTTGACAGTTTGGCGTATAGCTTAGTGTCCAAAAGTTTTTTCAGCACCTGTTGTATGAGTTTCACGTGTTCATCCATCGTCTCAGAGTAGATGAGAATGTCATCCAGGTACACTAAGACCCCCTTGTATAAGTGCTCATGCAGCACCTCATTTATGAGCTGCATAAATACAGCTGGGGCTCCTTGCAGTCCAAAAGGCATCACTCTAAATTGGTAGCTCCCTAGCAGGCAGTTGAAGGCAGTTTTCCACTCATCTCCTTCTTTGATCCTCACTCAATAGTATGCCTCCCTCAGGTCTAACTTGGTGAAGACCTTCCCCTTGGCTAGGTGTCCCATCATATCTTTCATGAGGGGGAGGGGGTACATATTTTCCACACATACTGCATTAGTTCCTCTAAAATCCATGCACAATCTCAGCGACCCATCTTTCTTCTCCTTAAACAAGATGGGGGCTGCCACTCGGGATTTTGCTGCTTGGATGAAACCCCTCACCAAGTTCTTGTCTATGTAGTCTCTTAGCTCTTTCATCACCTTGGGTGTCATGGAATACATTTTTGGCTTTGGGAGTTTAGCTCCGGGCAAAATCTCTATCACACAGTTTGTGGGTCGGTGAGGGGGCAGCACGTCAATCTCTCGCTAAACACCTCCATGAGGTCTCCGTACTCTCTTGGGACGAGCTGCTGCTCCTCCCCCTGCTCTGATGTTGCTTTACTGCATTGAAGGGATTTCCTTGCCTCCCTCCCCAGCTTGGCCTTTTCTTTCTCCCCCTTTGGGAGGAGAATGGGACAACTCACTGCAGCCAGGTGGGTGTGACCGGGTAGGCGTGGCCATCTGAGTGCCGCCAGGTGGGCGTGGGTGAGTGGGCGTGGCCGGGTTGATGCGAACGATTAGGTGCAGCCCACTCGGGGCAGATGACTCGGGGTGGCTGACTCAGGGCGGGTGGGTGGGCGTGGCTAGGTGGACGCAACCACATCAGTGTGGCTGGCTAGGGGATGCCAGGTGGGCGTGGCCAGGTGGGCGCAGAACAAGTCACCACGGGCAACTGGACGTGGAGCCAACTCGGCAACCTGTCAAAACAAAAGTCACTCGGAGACATGCTGGCAAACAGGAAGCAGGGAAGTGGCAAAATTTGAAAGGCAAAGGGTGGATTCCCCCCCCCGCTTTAGAGAAATGCTCCTTTTTTCTTGCTGCTTCCTGAGCAGAGATTTCTCTGCTATATCTGGCAGGGAAGGGAGGGACTGAATGGATTCCCTCCCCCCCCCCATTTGATTCTATACCTCTGTTTACAGTATGTAACCAAAGATTGTATTAGCTATTTTGGCATCATCAGTTAACTGATTTTATGTACATAGCTGAGGACAAATCTAATACAAAAAGAATACACTGTTACCTCTGCTGTGCCCCATCATAATCTTGTATTATAATCTTGCAACAGACCCATACTTCATCCACTGTTCTGCTAAGAATAACAGCTAAGAAATTGCAGAGGCACTGCAGTCAGGGGAAGGAGCTGTTGTGCATAATTTATCAGCAACACTTCCAAATTGCTCTAGTGACAGCCTATTGTGGTCATTTTCAGTAACCATATAGCCATAGTTTAATGCCTTAAGTGCAGTGCATGTACAAAGCCACCAGAGAGAAAAAAAGATTAGAAGTAAGAGATATGGTAGTAGAAAAGGAGTAATTTTCTTTTTCAAGAATACAGGGTTATACTAACCTGAAGAATATTCTAAATACTAGAAACACAATTAAGGAATTTGATGACAAATTACCTGGACATCCAGATTCATCTATTTGAGCTTCAGGTCCCAGGATTTCCTTTGCTTCTTTACTACCTAAAATATAATAGGATACAAATGAAGACCATTTGTCTTTAATTAACCGAACTTTAGTTAACTTATTTAATTGAAACAGTTCAACTTCCTATCATCTGAGTCATACGGAAAATGTTCATAATATTTTATTGTATTATTGTTGCTTGTACTTGAATTGCTATATACCACCTTGTAGAAAATGATATAAATGCCATATACATGATGTGAACAAATTTTACAGTAATGCTAGAGAATGAAATAACACTGAAAATCCCTGTCCTATATACCTATCTCACTTAAAATGGGAGCTATCGTGAGGAAGGCTGCTAATGAAAATTGTAATAATTGGCTAAATTTACAAACTAGAAGATTTTCCTTCAGCTACCCCTGTCCCCACCTGTTCAAGTCTTTTATAAACCAAAGAGATTGGCTCATAAATTGAAGCCAACTGAAAACCAATTTTTAAGTTCTAGTATTCTCTAACAGTACTAGTTGTCAAGTCTTCCTACTGACCTCTGAACAACCATGAAAGACATCTTCACATAATGCACTACAGTGTGCCAGTTTGCTCATTAATAACATTAATAACTACAGCCAGGTTATACATTATTGATAGTGAATTCAAAAAATAGATGGCTGCAAAAGAGAGTATACATTGAACAAAGATTGGTGTGTGTTTTGTGGTTGGCGACTTCAGGATCATTAACTCCAAACAGTCTAAAAAACACACTAGGATTATAGGAAGCTCTAAACCAGGGGTGTCAAACTGCCGGCCCATGGGCCAGATGCGTCATGCCAAAACTGCGCCCACCCCATTGCCGGCAATGGGAAAAAAGTCACAATACGTCATGACACGTCACATGACATCGCGAGTTTGACACCCGTGCTATAGACCTTGAGATTGATGCTGATGTCACTTGGAAGGTTTCATCTAAAAAATTCACAGCCCTTCTATAATAATCTTTACTTTAAAAATACATCTAAAAATTAAGCTAAAGTAAACATCTGAACATACTGAAGACCATTAAATTATTAGATGTGTTCTCTATTGCCAAAGTTCAGGTTTCTTCTTTGGAAGATAAACTATCCACTACATGTATGCATACTTCTGTTAACCACTGCTTAGAGTTAATTGGAAATGGCATATAAGCAGCAGAAACAAATGTCATTATTGAAATACTGCTTTATTCACAGAAAATCAAATTATAAAAAGGTAGCATCTGATTTCTCTATTGAAACAGTTAATTTATTACATGTAAAGCAGCATTGGCTTTAGTTGCATATAACACATCTGGCATATTACTGATCTATAGTTATTTAAAACAATATCTGAAATTAGTAATGGAAATAAGGGTACTTCCGCATGAAGAGTTTTATTCTGCAAACATCTGCTTCATTCAGCAAATTTTATGAAGGGTCTAATCTTCTTGCAATAAGCTCATTCTTACATTTATTCTAACCACACCAAAAAAAAACAAAAACAGAAAAGGAAGTAATGCGTAGAACAGGAGAAATGGATCAGAACATGTATACTTGAAGGAGAATGAGGAGAGTTCTCTCTGAAGAAAGTAGAAGACATATTAGACGTCTTCTTTCTTTGGTGCTTGTTACTGTAAGGTTTTCCACTTAGCCTCACAATTGTCCCAGTGTTACTCAGGAATTTAAAAGAGCCAAAAGAAACTCCTGAGCCTAGGTTTCACCAAAGAATTACAACTTTATTTTGATCAAAACAGAGAGGGGTGGCCTTATTCCTCTTCGTGGCTGGTAGAGGAATGAAGGCAACAACCAGGAAAGATATCTTCCACCTTTTATACCTTTTCAGAACAAAAAGATCAGGTCTCTGTATCAGGAGTAAGAAGGTGCAGAAAAATAATTCCAAGATGATGACTCATACACATCAATCCAGGCTCCATCCATAACTCCTTTTCCCCCTCCCCTTACCGTGCTCTTTTCATGTAAGCAATCTCCTGTATATAGAGCATGAGACATTTGCTTTTATGTAAATTGTTCTGTTTCCAAGTAAAAGGCATTGAGACGAGCAGGAGTAACAAACAGTCTTGTCTTTATTACATTCACAACAGAACCAAAAACAAAATGGCGCGGATTGCTCTTATACCCCTTTGCAGGGACAGTATCAGCCAATCAATGCAAGGCATTTCTCCCGCCTTGCGCATGCGCACAAGGCGGGAGACAGCCTGTCTGGTCCCGGGCATTCACGTGTCTGCCCGGGCCTCTCTTTAGCTTCCTGCACCTGCTGAATGACTCAGCAGGCCCAGGACATAACACCCCTCCCCTCTTGGATCAAAACATAGTACTTAATATTTTACAATACTACAAACCTAATACCTTGTCACTCCCTTATTCATAACACAATAATACTATTTTGCATTACTATAAATCAGACATTTGTCTTTTGAGCATGTTCTGATTTCTAAGTACCCCTACGCCTGCCCACCAACTGACAGGAGTCTTACATACTCCTGTAAGTGCTTGGGTGGACCTCTGGCTCGCTCTGACCTTCTTGGAGCGGTTGTGATTGCCTGGCCTGCAAACTCACCTGCCAGGCTTGTCAGGCCAGGACTTTGATGCCCCCTAGACTCAGGCGACCTTCCATGCTGCTGACTGGCTGGATCCTCTAAACCCAGACCAGAGTTCCTTGGTGGGGTGGAATTCCCCAAGTCCATTGGTGCGGTGGAATTCCCCAAATCCACAATGGACCCCTCTTGGGAGCACTGTCCCGTGAGCCCAAGACCAGCAGATGGATTGGCCTGAAAAACCAGTTGCGGGCAATGTCCCATTGACCCGGTGCCGGGTCAATGGGACCTATCATCTAGGCATACCTATCATCTAGGTATACGAGCACCCCGCGGTACAGGTGCTCATGCAAAACCCCATTAATTAGTTGCATGAACACCGCGGGGGGCCCTTGTAGCCCGAAGGGCATCACCCTAAACTGGTAGCTGCCTAGGGGGCAGTTGAACACAGTTTTCCACTCATCACCGGGCTTGATTCTAACCCGGTAATAAGCCTCACGCAGGTCCAACTTTGTGAAGACCTTCCCCTGGGCTAAATGGGCCAAGAGGTCCTTCATTAACGAGAGGGGATATAGATGTTCCACACACACTGCATTGATGCCTCTGAAGTCTACGCAAAGCCTTAGTCCTCCGTCTTTTTTTTTCTGGAAGAGCACCGGGGCTGCTATCCGGGACCGGGCGGGCTGTATAAAGCCCCTAGCCAGGTTCTTATCGATGTATTGTCTCAGTTCGTTCAATTCCCTCGGTGTCATGGGGTACATGCGAGGCTTTGGTAATTTTGCTCCTGGCAGTATCTCTATGGCACAGTCAGTCGAACGGTGAGGTGGAAGGCTGTCACAACCCNTGGCCGGGGACCAGTACCCAGACGCATGTGACGGCAACCCCCACCCCACCATATCGTCGGGCCCCACTTGTCCAGCCAAGCTAACCCCAGGATCACCGCCTCCGTCATAGAAGGGACCACAATGAAACGGAGGATCTCCCAGTGTTCCCCCATGTCCAACCGTACCGGCTCTGTTACCAGGGTGGCAGGGACCCCCCCCAATAGGGACCCATCCACCTGCTCGAAACGAATGGGGTGAGCCAGGCGATGCACTCTGATTCCAACCTCCTTCACTACCGTGGCGCTGATCAAACATCGGGTGCAGCCTGAATCAATCAATGCCTGATACCCCTCGGTGTGGCCCATGGTGGGGCTCGACAGGGAGATCGGAATAGTAAAGGGGGTTATCGGCTGGCTTACCATAGGGTCTTCCGCGGCGTCCGTATCATCATAGTCCACCAGAAGGTCATCGGGAACCGTCAGGGTTGTCTCACTTGGGCTCCGTTGGGGGGTTCCACCTTCTGCATGATGGGCTGCTCTCGACCGCTCCGCCGGTTTCTTTGGTGTGGAACCCACCTTTCCCTGGACCGTCGGGGTGTTTTGCGCCGGGGGTACAGGGCACTCCGCCACCCGGTGCCCCAGCCGATTGCACCTAAAACACCTGAAAACGGGTTTAGCAGGGGGCATAGAGGGGGGCGGCGGCTGGCTGGGTTCCTTCGGCCGGTCCCCTACCCGCCGGGGATAGGGCTGCTCATCCACAGACCTCCGGAACTCCTGCAGGCCAGCGTCTAGCTCCGACGCCACCTTATACCAGTCTAGCAGCCGGCAAGGCACCCCTCTCACAACACAGGCCTGGCGTAGCTCCTTATCCAAGCCGTGACGAAAGTGATATACCAGGAGCCTCTCTGGCCACGAGCGCAGCCGACCGACCACTTTTTGAAACTCTCTCACGTAGTCCCGTACGGGTTGGCCTTTCTGCCTTAAGCCCAAAACCTCCACCTCAGCGCGCTGTATCCGGGAGTGGTCGTCAAACCTGGCTCTAAGTGCCTCCAGGAACAGTCCGACGTCCCCCAGCTCCCGGGCGTGGTCGCTGTATAGATCGGCAGCCCAAGCCGCTGCCTCGCCCTGAAGGCTCGTTGTAATCGCCACCACCATCGACCACTGGGATGAGTACAACGTTGTATACCGGTCCAGATGGCTCAATACCTGGCCCAGGAACATAGCCAGCCTGTCCGGGTCACCATCGAACGTTGCTGCAATGGGTGGTGGTCCCCACATAAACCCCGTCGGCCACGGCCCCGTGGCCTGTGCATCCCTCTGGCCGCTGTCAATGGTAGCAGAACGGCGACCGGCTGGAACCGGACCCCAAGCTGCCGAGGATCCGGAGATACGTGTGGGCTGGCCTACTGACCCAGCGGTCATAGGTCCCCCAGTTCGGCCTTCCCTGTGGTGCCGGGCTTGGGCGGTTGCTACGTGACCCAACGGAACCCCACCGTGGTCAGGACCACCCCTTGGAGGTACCTTGAACCTTGGGCTGGCGAGGTGGAACCTAGTGCCCGCCGACCCCTGCCGGTCCGGAGTACCACTGGGCGCTGAAGGAGGCGGCAGGTAGCCTGTCTCCCCAAACCGTTCCCGTAAGACATCCAACGTATATTATCCCGGGG